GCTGACCCGCACCCGCCGCACGTTTGACCGCGCACTGTGTGCACTGCCGGTGACTCAACATGATCGGATTTGGGCGCCCTATTTGTATTTTGTCAGTCAGAGGGGGGTCCCAATTGAGACATCGCTCCGGGTTTACAGACGGTACTTGAAGTATGACCCCTCCCACATTGAGGACTTCATTGAGTTCTTGGTGAATTCAGAGTTATGGCAGGAGGCTGCAGAAAGGTTGGCTGGAGTATTGAATGATGACCAGTTCTATTCAATTAAGGGAAAGACGAAGCACCGGCTGTGGTTGGAGCTGTGTGATTTGTTGACTCAGCATGCTACTGAAATTTCAGGGTTGAATGTGGATGCAATTATTAGGGGAGGGATTCGCAAGTTCACGGATGAGGTTGGAAGGCTATGGACCTCCTTGGCAGATTATTACATCCGAAGAAAATTAGTTGAGAAGGCAAGGGACATTTTCGAGGAGGGAATGACCACAGTGGTGACTGTTCGAGATTTTAGTGTAATTTTTGATGCATATTCGCAGTTTGAGGAGAGTATGTTAGCTCTAAAGATGGAGGAGATGAGCGAGAGTGATGTGGAGGATGAGGAGGGTGATGGTGAGAAAGGGGTAGAGGAGGAAGATGAGGAGGATGATCGATTAAATATAGCAAAATTAGAGAAAAAACTTAAGAATTTTTGGTTGAATGATGATAAGGATGTTGATTTGAGATTAGCGAGACTAGAGTATCTTATGGATAGGAGGCCAGAGCTTGCTAACAGTGTGCTTCTCAGGCAAAACCCACACAATGTAGAGCAATGGCATAGGAGGGTGAAGCTTTTTGAAGGGAATCCCACACGGCAGATACTGACATATACCGAGGCAGTTAGGACAATAGACCCAATGAAGGCTGTAGGGAAGCCGCATACACTGTGGGTTGCATTTGCAAAACTCTATGAGAAGCATAAGGATGTTGCAAATGCTAGGGTGATATTTGATAAGGCAGTGCAGGTCAACTACAAGACTGTGGATCACCTTGCTGCTGTCTGGTGTGAATGGGCTGAGATGGAACTTAGGCACAAAAATTTTAAACATGCACTTGAACTGATGAGGCGTGCTACTGCAGAACCATCTGTTGAGGTCAAAAGGAGAGGTAATTCTAGTCCTTCTTGTGAATGTGACTTTTTCTTACCATCATTACCTTTAATTTGGCAATGCTAGAATATTTAACAATTGCAATTGAAAGCCTGCTTACTGCTTATTCAAGCTTAATTACATGATAGGTGCATGAAGTTACACAAAACAGATATGAATTCATTGTCTTGCTTATTTAAATGTTCAAACATAATGGTTTCTTACTGAGTAGGGCTTCGTTTTATGGTTGACACTGGGATGCACTTACATGACTAAAATTCCAAAGCTTTTTTGTATACTAGAGTATGTTATTGATTGTCATTGTGAGTACTGTTTTTATATGAATTGCTCAGTTTTAACTTTTAAGTCGACAGTCACAAAGAGGAAATGCACTGTCCCTGCTAATTCAGCACTTAACAATTCATTTTCAACATAGTAATAATTGCTGCTAAAAGATTTTGGGACATGTTGGAAAATGCATAATTGTAGAATCAAATATGTTTTTTATGAGACACTTTGTGTATATGAAAACATTCTGTGAGGCTGCAATGGATCTAACCATTGGGTGTATGTTCAATATTGTTTTTGGCAGTTGCTGCTGATGGCAATGAACCAGTTCAGATGAGACTTCATAAATCCCTTAGGCTTTGGACGTTCTATGTGGATTTGGAGGAGAGCCTGGGTACATTAGAGTCAACTAAGGCAGTCTATGAGAGGATTTTAGATCTTAAGATTGCCACACCCCAAATCATTATTAATTATGCAATGCTTTTGGAGGTACGTACTGCTTTATATCTTATTTCCAATGGAAGATTACAATCCTTTAGAATGAGATTAATATTCTATTTTTAACTTCTTTTCCAGGATCATAAATTCTTCGAGGAAGCATTCAAAGTTTATGAGAGAGGCGTCAAGATTTTTAAATACCCACATGTAAAGGACATATGGACTACCTATCTTTCCAAGTTTGTCAAAAGATATGGGAAGTCAAAATTAGAACGAGCTCGAGAATTATTTGAGCATGCTGTTGAAGTGGTATGTTACTGTCATTTATATTCTGTTTGTACAGTTCTTTTGTGGTGTTATTTCTATTTCCTTCTATTTTCAATTCTTATGCTTCAAGTTATTTCTTGATTTATAGTATTTATATTTTTAAAATGTTTGTTCCAAAGTCCAAATTGCATATCTGAATATCTGCTCAATGATTATGATGGTTTCATACAATAATCAAACTAAGTTTTAACTCAATTTATTAACTTGCCAATATTCATAACTTGTTTTTTAATCAAGCCATAGCTTAGCCACTGATAATTAAGACATCAGTATTTGCTCAAATACCTTTTCTTTGGTCATCTTATATATATCTCTGTTTCCAGGACATGTATTTAATACTGCAGTGTTAAACAATTATTATGCGTCTCCCCTTTTATGTCACTGATTACTGAGTATTTTCTTTGAAATCGAGAAATAAACTACTAGCATGCCCAATTTCTTAACTGTTATCACGGTACCATATCATCTGTGATTGACTTATTATTTTGATATCAAATGTTAATGTGTTGACTTTTTTATGCTTTCAACTTTTATTAGGCTCCTGCTGATGCGGTCAAGCCATTGTTTTTGCAATATGCTAAACTAGAGGAAGATTATGGTCTTGCCAAGAGGGCCATGATTGTTTATGATCTAGCTACCAAAGCTGTTCCAGCTAATGAGAAATTAAGCATGTATGAGATTTACATAGCTCGTGCGGCTGAGATCTTTGGGGTTCCTAAAACAAGAGAAATATATGAACAGGCAATTAATACAGGACTTCCAAACAACAAGGATGTGAAAACCATGTGCCTAAAGTATGCTGAACTTGAGAAGAGTCTGGGAGAGATTGATCGTGCCCGTGTATTATACAAGCATGCATCTAACTATGCAGACCCGCGATCTGACCCTGACTTCTGGGATAAATGGAATGAATTTGAGGTACAACATGGAAATGAGGACACCTTCCGTGAGATGCTCCGTATGAAGAGAAGCACTTCTGCCAGCTATAGTCAGGTAATATTTCATTTTCTGACCCCGTTTGGAACTTGTATAGTTTTCTTTAAATTGAACTGCTATATATTTGTTTTGTGCATTTACAAGAATTCATCTAACTTCATTTGATTTTACATTTTTACTACTAAGGGATGAAATCTTTCACTTTGTTATTTGATATAATCTCCTGTGGATAAGATGATATGCCAAACTGTTTCTGCATTAGTTTTTTATACTTAAACCTGCAGCATACCTTGTAACAGAATATGACTGATTTGACCATACGTATCAACCAATTACTTTCTATTTGTAAAATTTCCTGCATGGAATGAGACCCCACCCCCCAAAAAAAAAAAAAAAAAAAAAAGCAAAGCTTGGTTCTATGAAACAGAGGTTGAGTGTTTTGCTCTTCCTGTTTTTATTTCCCCCCACCCTAATGTGGGCTACATTCCTCATCACATTCTTTCATGTTCTGCAGACACACAACATTCTTCCCGAACTCCTCATGCAGAAGGATCAGATGCAGACACTTGAGGAAGCAAAGGATGTGTTGAAACAGGCAGGAGTCGATGATGACCAAATGGCTGCCATAGAAAGGCAGTTGGAGCCCAATGTAAATGAAACAGACTCAAGAGATAAGAGTAGGGTAGTTGGATTTGTGAGTGCAGGTGTTGTAGAATCTGGTGCACAGAAGACTACTGCAAACAACGAGGACATCGAGCTTCCTGATGAAAGTGATTCTGAAGGAGAAGAAGATGATGAAGGGAAAGTTGAGATTGCACAAAAAGATGTACCCGATGCTGTGTTTGGAGGCTTAGTCCGTAAGAGGGAAGAATCTGAGAAAGACGAGGGTGGTGATGGTTCAGACAGTCATCTGGGTGCACTTGAGAGGATAAAGCGACGGAGACAAGCCTCCTAGACACTTGTTCTTTGACTTTATTTGTAGCAATTTTGATCTTTTTACCAAAAAAAAAAAAAAAAAAACACAAAAGATCACTATTCTAAATGTAAATGATGATTTTCTTTAACATGGATTGACTTAACCCTTTTAGTTACTTTGTTTAACATCGTTTGTTTAATTTACATGATTTAATAGTTTTGTTAAAAGCAATTTTCAGGTCACTATGGCAATAGCCATTGAAATGGGGGAAAAGGAAATGTGTAAATATTAGTTTTAGTTTCATGATTAAAAATATGATATTCATGTGCTAAATCGTTATCACATAAATATAAAATATCAATTATTCATATAATTTTGATTATAGTGCTATAAAAAGAATTGGAGAAGACTTTTTCTTTTTGAGAAATTGGAAAAGACTCAAGATGTCAAAAAAGCAAGAGAACTCTATCTTTTTGGAGTACCAAAAAAGTGTTTTGGTTCAACATGACAAAGACTTTGTAGTCAAGCAGTGAATGGCTCTATGTTGGGAAAGTATAAATAGATACTACATTGTAACAGAATCAGTAATACTAAAAAAAAATAATGGTTCAACATTAAAAAAAAAAAAAAAAAAAAAAAAAAAAAAAAAAAAAAAAACTTTTGATTAATTAAGAAATGACAAAAATTTCTAAAATGAGTTTTGGAAAATTTTGAAGGCAATATTTTCAAAATAGAAAAACTATACCCCTCAAAGTTTCTATACATCATAGGCAATAACATTTCAAAAGGAAAGCTTTAGAGATAAAATCACAAGTATAAAAGAATTAAAATAACTTTAAAATAATTTTTTTGGGTATACAATTCAAATGTCAACTGTTGCTGATGTTTTTTTTTTTTTTTTTTTTTTTTGAAAATTTGCTGATGTTATTAATAGAGCTAAAGTTTTCCAACATTGGTGGAAAATTGGATAACCTTAAACTAGTCTGAAACACCAACTCTATACTATGTTCTACAACAAACAAGATACATTTAACAAAACGGAAAACGTAAAACAGAAAACGTTAGTTTACAAAAATGCTCTATGGAAATGTAAGAGAATCGTTCAAAAAAGTTCATTGAAATGGAATAGGAACACCTTGGTTCTTGTTAACAATCGCCATTGCCAAATACCGAGTTCCCATTCCAATGGGCACTTGGTCTTCTGGACCCTCCCAAAACGGGGCTTCACCATCACCCACCAGCCGCCAGTATCCGGTCCTTAGGGATTCAGCCTGCTCATCGGTACAGTTCTCCATCAATGCTTCAACTCGGAAGTTTATTCCAAGAGAGCCAAGGAGTTGAGACTGAGTGATTGGCCCGTGTACACATACATTTTCTGTAATCACATTTTCTTTTCAGTTCTATCAGTAGTTCAATTTCCTTTTAGGAACACCGATCATAGACATGAGAACAAAAAGAGGATACGTAGTTTAAATATTGAGAAAATGTGAGTGTACCTGAAGCCTCCTCGGCAGAATGCCTAATTGCAGGAAAATCAACATAAGCACTTAGATCCGCTGTTCCAGGGTTATCCAGTATGTTAACAAACTTATGTTTTCGAATTGCCTGCATGGAATTTGGAATACTGCTGCATAGTTACGTACAAATGGCACAAATAGTCTCCTCGAGCAATATTATATAGCAAAAAAATTTCAACTGAGCAATAGACAAGTTGCATAAAATGCCTATAAAATAAGACTATACACAGCTTTAATATTTCAATATGTTCTAAAATTAAATGCTAATGGCGCAGGAGATTTAAAAAAAAAAAAAAAAAAAAAAAAAGAGAGAGAGAGAGAGAAGGTGCAGGAGACAGACCTGAAGACTATCTGAGACTATTCCATTCAGGCCATAATCAATTATAAGAGCCCCGCCACCATCTGAACCTATTCTGTCAGCAATTGCCCGAGTCAGATCCATTGCTTTAGGGCATACCTCAATCTGTTCAAGCTTCGCTATTTCTTCATTTTCAGCCCACTTGCAGCGCTTCATGAGATAGAGAGTTGAAGGGGTAGGATGTGGAGACAATACAAAACGGAACCTATTGAGTAGAATACAAAAACAGAAGAAGTGACTGGGGGTTCAAATTTTCATACAAGGCAGTAGAAGTCCAACTGTAATTACAACTTACATGGAATTCTCAGTAATGTCTACCATTTTCTCACACCAGCCATGAGATGCTCTCTGTACACAGATTTTAAAACACAGGCAAATGTGAAGAAATAAACAAGGTATTATGTATTCAGAAAATCAGGTCAGCCGTTTCCTACAAATATCAAGTAATTTAAGAAACACATTTAAGATCTAATACATCATAATTCTTCTTCTAGGATCTCATGATCACATTTCCTGCATGTAGATGTAATTCTAAGTGAAGGATATCCCATGAGGATTTGAAAGTCAGGCATAAATTGAGTAGGGGATAGAAACGATTAGAAAAAAAAAAAAAAAAAAAAAAAAAAAAAAACTAGTCAAGGAAACCTATCAGATGAACAAATTAGAGTCCAAATATAGGGCACCAGAGCAATGCAAAATGTGAACATTCAATTCATAGAATGTGAAATTGTGAATATTCAGTTTCAGTACAAAGTTCAAAAATTGAAAGTTGACAATCAGTTCACTAACAGTAAACATTAGTGCACCATGCTTTTTGCCAAAAAAGTATATTAACCAACAGTTGCAGAAAGAGATGAATATACAAACCTGAAATTGGTGCACTGGTAAGGCATCATAAAACTCATGTGCTATGATGATAGTGGGAGCTGAAATTTTTAAAAGAAATAGAAATTTTTTTAAAATAATTTCTGCAGAGTTTCAATCATATGATAGATTGAAGGGGTAAATAAATACCTAGATTAAGTAATGCCAGAAAAAGACAGAAATGCAGATTTACGTCCACAGAAATATATTAGTTGTGAAGCAAGAGACAGCATTCAATTGCTTTATAATTCATAGAATACATATCAATGTAATGAAGCTCTTATAATTTCTTACATCCAGTTGGAACCTGTTCCAATGTAGCATGCCATGATACAGGAGTTCCTGCTATTGTGCTAACGATATGGTCCGCTGCATTTCCACCTGTATCATTCTTATTTTGGCACTTCAAGGCCTTGTATTGAAGCTTCTGCAGGGTTGGACTACATTCAACCATGTGTACATGCAGTGATCCTGTGAAGTGTTTAAGCTTTGATGTGCCCTGCAAGGTGCAATAGACACAAGTCATATAACAATTGCCAAACACAGTATAAAGCTATCAAAGTATGCAATACCCTTGAAGAATTATCAGGGAGACTATATATCCATTATACCCGTAGAAGATCAGCCACGAGAGTTCCTCTGCCCGGTCCTAGCTCAACCAAATTTACTTTACTTGGTTGTCCCATTTGCTCCCAGAGACACATTGCCCAAACGCCCATCATCTATAAAGATAAGGAGTAATCAGAACAACTCTTATTGGAGCAAGTTTGGAACTTTATGCTTTTCCAGCACAACAACCAAAGGTTCCAATGTGTATGTAATATCCATTAGAAGCCAAATTACCTCTCCAAACATCTGGCTTACTTCAGGAGAGGTAATAAAATCACCTTCTGCTCCAAACACATCACGATTAATATAGAACCCTGCCTTTGGGTTTGTCAAGACTTCTTCCATATACTCTGCAACTGAGATAGGACCCCCTCTGAACTGAAAAGCTCACCAGCCCAAGATACTCAGATACAAATATTAACAAAGATAGAGTTTTGGCTGTAAAAGTTATCTAATTCATTATGGCAGTGCATTTATCATTTCAAAAATTCAACATCATTCACAGAAAACCAAAAATTAGTGCCTGCAAAACACTTAAATCACTTATAGTCACATATAAAAATGAAAATTGAAAAGAATGTAAAACCTTGATAATGCTCTTTAGATGCTTAACAAGCTCAGAATCGGACGACGGTTCATGCGAATGCTCTGCAATTTACAAGCAATCAAGCACAGCCAAACTCCACAAAGATCGCAGTACTCGTACGATTAAAACCAAGAAATCAAAAATTGAAAATGACGGGATGAAGCAATTACCAGGAACATTGTATAAGCCGGAGCGGTCGACGGAGATTTTGGCGGACGGCGGTGGAGCGGCATTTGCATCCTCCAACTGTTCGACGAAAGTACCGTTTGCAAATCCTGAAGGACGGGAAGAACAACGACGAAGTGAGAGCGATGGAGCAATCGCGTGCGAGAAACGGCGTCGTGTCGAAGCGCGGAGAAGTAAACTTCTCAACATTTCCAAAGCTTTTTCAGCGTCCTGAAACTGATACACTCACAAACTGCTGCTGTAAAATTTACCGAAGATGGAAACTTGGAAACCAAACAAACAAACAAACAAAAGTAATTTAAGAGTAATCAATACGTATATGATACAAAAAAACAATAATGAGAAAAAAATGTAATTTATGCCTTTACTAATTATAAATATCACTCTTTAATTCTAAGTAATATAAATGTTACTCTTAAATTGTTTAAACGGGTGTATATATTAACCATCAACTTTATAAATGTTGCTCCTGAATTTTGAATTGTCTAAATAGAAATTAGGGTATTAGCGAACAGAGCTTTCAGTAAATCATTCGTGTTCGTATTTGGTAAGTGTTTGTTTATGTTCATTTATTAAGATAAACGAACATGAACAAATTTTAGAGCTCGATTCATAAACAAACAAAGTCTAAATAGTTGTAGGTTTGTTTGCTAAAAATTTGTAAACAAAGTTGTTTGTTTTCGTTTAATAATATTCACCAACAAGCTCGTTTAGTGTTCGTTTAATAATGGTTGCATACATGTTCATGAACAAGTTAAATATTAACCTAAAAAATAACTAGAATTGTAAATGGTATAAAGAATTAAAGATTTAAAGAATCAAAACACAATTCCACAAAGTCACAACTCACAAAGTTCAATTATTTACAAAAATACTATCGCGTTTTTTTTAAAGCATTGTTTCTGATCCGTTAGATCTGAACATATGGATAGTTGCGATGGGTTCTCATTCCTTTGCTGGGCATGTTGTTCTCACATGATTCGTCTCCTATATATATAATACTATCGCGTTTTTTTAAAAAAAAGCATTGTTTCTGATCCGTTAGATCTGAACATATGGGTAGCTGCGATGGGTTCTCATTCCTTTGCTGGGCATGTTGTTCTCACATGATTCGTCTCCTATATATATATATATATATATATATATATATATATATATATATATATATATATATATATATATATATATATATATATATATATATATATATATATATATATATATATATATATACACACGTGCAAAAAGCCTCCCATGTGAAATATGAGGTGAGATATGAGTCGTTGATCTAATCTAGATCAACAACTCAAATCAAGAAATTTTTTTAAAAAAATGCACTTCTTGTGAACGGGATACATTCTCCTCATATCACTGTTGAACTAATGCACCTTAAGGTTCAAAATTATGCACCTTAAGTTTCAAACTGACGCACTTTAAGGGTCGTATTGACACATCTTAAAATGTCAAACTGATGCACCTTAATTGAATTGTAATTTAATGAAGGCCTCAATTACATTGTTTGATGGGAGAGAATTGCAATTCCACTGAATTACAATTCCCTCCTTTATTCAATTGCAATTCAATGCTCGTGGGAAGGCAAAAATAGAATAAATGACAAAAGTATCCTTAGTGATAGTTATTGTTATTATTATTATTACACAAGGTCATTTAAGTCTTTATATCACGTTTGCCTTCTCATTTCCAATAATTCTATTCCCCGTACCAAACAATGTAATTTGAATTCCTACATTATTCATACCTTATTCTTTTCCCACCGAATTGCAATATATTTCCTTCCTAATTCCATCCTCCCAACCACACACGGAAACACCCCGTTGGCCTAAGTGTTAAAATGATGCACCTTAAGTGTTAAAATAACGCACTTGAAGTGTTAAAATGACATACCTTAAGTGTTAAAATGACGCACCTTAAGTGTTAAAATAACGCACCTTAAATGTTTAAATGGTGCACCTTGTTAAAAAGGCTCACCTTAAGTGTAGAACTTATGCATGTGTAGAGCTGACGCGCCTTAAGTGTTAAAATGGTACACCTTAAGTGTTAAAATGACGCACCTTAAGCTTTGAAAATACGCACCTTAAACTTTACAATTACGTACCTTAAACTTTCAACATACACAAAATTACCATAATCCACCGTATTTTTTTTAAAAAAAATTATCTTCATTCTGAGCTGTTGATTTTGACAAAATCAATAGTTATGATTAATCCTCTTGTTTCACTTATATATATATATATATATATATATATATATATATATATATATATATATATATATATATATATATATATGAATATGATCAAATGCAAATAGAGCTTCTCGTGCGGTTGGTGCGGATTGCACCATTCGTTATGTATAAATGCACTACAAAATACACCAAACATAATAATGCATTTCTGAACATTTTGTAGTGCATTTATGCGCACTTAATTATGAATAACCGTACAACTACACGAAAAGTCATATCTGTCCGAGAACTTGACCCTATATATTGTCTGTGAATTACATAATACTTACCAAAATATTGTTTTGTGAGGGTTGAACATAACTACTTACACAACCACACAACACACCAAAGCAAGTTGGGCAAATGTGTCAAACCACAACTCCTTAATTGGATGCATGCATATCAGATCACCTACTCAAATGTGGTTAATTAATTCACTCACTGGATGGATAACATATTATATATATATAGTGGGTATTGTATTTATACACGCATGCTTCCCTCTTTTACTCTTTACTATTATTAATAAGCTCTTATAACTACGATATGTATACTATAGTCTTCATATTTTCGTATCTATAAAAAACATATTCTCATTTTTTTCATAGTTTGTAATAATTATATTATAAAGTATGTAATAATTATAACATGTTGAAATTAAAATATATGTTAACATGGTTTACTCAATAAATATAAAATTAGCAATCTCAAATCTAATTGCAAGCGTACAAAGTGATTCGAGAATTACTATGTTAGATAATCCCGAATAGCATAATATAATGGATAAACTTTGATTAGATGCTTTTAGCGCTTTGATACACAAAATATTAGATCGTAAATGTTTCACTTTTTTTGTATTCTCTGATGTACCAAAAAATATTTATATTTAACTCTATAAATTTCAAAATGATTTGATAACTTGAAGATGCAAATCAACCATTAAATATAACCTATAATTACATATTCTTCTTCTAACGTAATCATCATCGTATTCTAATCTTTCTTGCTCGTTGAATAATTCCTCGATATCTTTCAGTGTTTGAACCAAACAACTCTTTCAATTAAGTGTACTATATTACTTTTATGTTGTACAACAAAGCTTTCATTCTCTGTCAATGATTAAGATGCGTTACATATAATGGATATTAGCCACCAACCCCACCAAGCATTGAAGTATAGAACCACAAAAAAAGTGATGTTTGGTTAGTAATAAACTAATGACCAATGAGTGATGACACTATGTGTTTTAAAATTATATAACTTTCATCTAAAAAATATTGTCTCCTTTGATCCAACATACAAATTTAAGAAAGAACAAACACATATTAATAATTTCCACAAAAAAAAAAAAAAAAAAAAAAAAAAAAAAAAAAAAAAAAAAAAAACACACACACACACACACATATTAACAAGAGAATGACACAAAATAAAAGAAATAGGACTTAAAGTACGTTATAGAGCATTATCTTCTAAATGTATAACATACATAATTAACCTACGGATTATTGAGGAAAAATCACACAACCAAAGAATTGAGGGGATGCAGGTAGGAATACTCTAAGTTATTCAAGCACACAACATCAAAATCTCTCAATTCCCCCTATTTTCATAGAGAGAAATCAAGTTTATGTAAGGAGTGATTTGGAATATAATCTTGACACAACTCTCATTGTAGCCTAGAATTCTTCATGCACACAAATCAAAATTGAGCATCAAATAGATTATACAATTTTAACCTAAGTCCATAAACTAATTACTCACACATGCATATATTAAGTATAAACGTCATCAAAAATACAAGAATTAAGCACAAATAGCATAAAAGAAAGAGATAGAAAGAAAAGAAAAACTTATCTATTACGGGATGATAAACCTTGGAATCCAAGCATTACATCTATGATTACAAGCTTCCAAAATGTAAAGAAATTTAAATCTAAGCCTAATATACCTGACCTAAAATATGAAAGGAGTTGAAGTAAAATAGTTAATCCATGGGTCAAAATTATGAAAAAATGACTAAAAATGCACTTATATAGAAGATAGAGTACTTAAGAACAACCTATGGAATGATCATCTCTCAACAGTTCATTACCAAGCAGAATGCAATTCAACTCGAAGAAATGTAGTAGAGAACGCCCTAATGAACGATCGGGTTCAACATATGGATCTTCATGGACATAACCTGTTCCTTTCTGTTTTTGACATTTTTAACGTTAGAATTGGATTTGATCGATGATCTTCATTAAAGTTGTAGCTCCTTGAGCCGGATTTCCAATGGTGCAAGAATAACTTAATTTGGACATTTCTATGCTGAGATATGATCAATCAGTGGTCATGTTGTGCGAGAATTTCAACTTATTATTTTTTGCTCCACTTTTGCATTGGTTTGCTCACATCATCAAAACCATTGAAAACACACTCTTTGGCTCTCTTTGAAAGTATTTTAACCATCTTCTTAGTTTACTTTGCTTCTGACTCTAAATGCACCAAAAATGCTTTAAAAATCATTCAATTCATTTCAATAATCAATTACTACACCTAAACATGCAAATGAATCAAATAAGGGACATTTTAATTTGGACAAATTTATAACAAATTACAAGCAAAATAAATTTAAATATAATGTGAAAATATAAACAATTACACACTTATCACATACATATATGAGTTTTTGTATTTACTAACATAATGACAAACCATTGATAAGTGGACCACCAATATGATGGTCCATATTGCTAAGTGAATCACTAATAAATGTTTATTTTAAATTTTTAATGTATTGATTGTTATTTTTTATATAGTATATTAAAAATAAATATGTAATACGTTAAAAAAAATCTATAATATATTAAAAATGAATATTCATTATACTAAAAATAAATATATATGATAATGGTTTACCTTTATAATGTAAATCTATCATGCACGATTCATAGTATAATGATTGAGAATATAATTCTCATTATTTCCCATATTGAATACATACTTCAATTTCCTGCATTCTAAGTTCCATTTGACCCTTGGGGGATAGGAGAAGTT